GGCATGACAAGTGGAAACAAACCAGGCCCACACTGTGGTCACCTGTCCTGCACGTTGCTACCTCCACCTGGAAAGAACTCAGGACATGAGATTCAGCACCTTGGCCGCTGTGCCCTCTGGAGTGATGATTTTCCCGTGAACTGCACTGAGGCCACACTTGGCCCTCTGAGGCCCAGCTGCTCACCTGGAAGGCAACCCTGGAAAGGATGAGTGCTACAGCCAAGTCCATGTGTATTTCACGGTTTAAAGAGTCATAGGATAGCTTTCTGTCACTGTAGCAAAATACCTGAGATAGTTAACTTACAAGAGAAGAAAGTTAGCAGGCATGGTGGTACACATAGCACTCCAGGAGACTGAGAGAGAAAGACTGCAAATTTGACCCTAGTCTGGGCAAGCTAGCAACTTGGCAACCCCTTGTCTCAAATTTAAAAGGGGCTGAGGATCCAGGTCAGTGCAAAGGCCCAGAACCACAAAGAAAGAGGAGTAGAGGTATTCTGGCTCATGGTTTGAGAGGTTCCAGCCCAGGGTCAGGAAGATTCGTGACTGTTAGGCTTCTGGTGGGGGTGCTGGACATGAATGATGGGGCACATGTGCTGGACCCAACAGCTTACCTCATGGCCAGGAAGCAACGAGAAAGAGGCTGGGACCAGAGCCCCCAGCCCCACCCAGGGCTCCTTCCAGAGATTAAATCACTTCCTAAAGGTTCCAACACCTCTTAATATAGCACCAACCTGGAGACCAAGCCTGGATCCAACCAGAGCAGCCAAGTTTCAAGATGCAAGAACCAGGAAGAGTTGCCAAGGACACCAGAGAACAAGGGTCAAAGAAATAGACTTCCCTGGGAGCTTCAGGGGAAAGCCTGAGTGATGGAGAATAAGAAAGGTCACCCAAAACCTCATGTGCTTCTAGGTCAGGGTATGTGGAGGTGACTGGATCATGAGGACATGATACTCATTGGTGGATCAGTCCACTGATGAGTTTATAGCTAAATGTGATGCTGGGAGATGAAGCCTGGTTGGAGGTGGCCCGTCACTGGGGCGTGGCCTGGAAGGGTTGATCTCCTTCTCTTCCCCTCTAGATCTCTGCTTCCTGCTGCTGGGCCACGAGCTGCTTCTCCTCTGCCACACCCCTCTGCCCTCCCCCACTGCCTTGGAACCAGCTGACTATGGACTGAAACCTCTACAAACTGTGAGCCAAAATAAACCTCTCCTCCTTCCACTTTTGGGTGTTGGGTATTTTGTCCCTGTGATGAGAAAAGTGACTAAGACATCCACCCAGACCATCCCATCTCTGCGTGCTCTTCTCCTAATCCAGTCTTGTGTGACTGGAAAAGGGCAGTAGCTCATGCTGCCAGGTGAAGGACTCCACGTCAAACCCACCCCAGATCCATCAGTTGCAACCCAGGTAGCGTGGATGTTACTCACGGCGTTTGACTCTCCAGGGTCCCTTTGCTGTAGGTGCTGGTGAAAGGCAATGTCCTTGTCCCACTCTAGAAGTCAAAAGAACCAGGAACTCCCCACCTCCTGGTAGCTGGAAATGTGCCCACATCCTAGGCTGAGCCAAACAGATGCTTGTGCCTGGGACTTGGAATCTCAAGGAAAAGACACCAGTGCAGGGGGTCAGCAGAGAAAGGGTCCTGACAGCGGCAGCTGGCATCCAGCAGCAGGCACGTCATTGGGCATCAGCTGAGCACAGCCAGTGGTCCTCCCAACAGGGCAGTTCTTTGGCCAGGACTGTTGCTATGTCCCCACTGCCCAGCCCACCTTGGATTTGGCTCTGTTTGGAAGATGGCACTGACTGTGTGAGCTGCCCCAACTCCTCCCCTGGACTTGCTTTTCTGTCTAAATTAGCCTGGATTAGGTTTTCTTTTTGCATCCAAAACTCCAGCCTAATTCAGGAGAATGACTGCCTAGAGGAGCAACCCCCAGTCACTGTGTCACTGCCTCCTCATGTGCATCTTCAGCAGCCCAGCATGACACTGTGGGTACTCTAGAACAGGTGAGCATGATCCACACTAGAAAACTCCTGTTAGCTGGGTGATTTGCCTAAGTTTATGGCCAATGATCCTGCACTAATCCATGGCCTCAGGGCCTCCTGGCCTTCCTTTGGGTGGCTGGGGATATCAGTTAGGAGTTGGCTTTGGCTACTAATAAAGGATGTGACCTCAATGGCTTAACAAAGTAAGGAAGAGAAGTCTGGAGATCATCAGTTATACAAAGGTCTAACCAAGTCCTAGGGACCCAGATTCTGTTATTTTTATGCATAGCCATTCTTAGCACATCTTTGTGGTTCCTTCATTTTATAAAGATGGCTGCTGACTTCTACTTCTAGCCATCTCATGTGCATTCCATGTAAAAGAAAAGACTCAAAGAACATAAAGGCAAACCACCTAGTGAAGACCCATATAACCATTTTTTCTCTCTCCTTACATTGAATTGGCTGTAACTGCAAGGGAAGCTGTGAAAATATGGTTGGTTGCATCAGTTCCCCCAGCAATGTGGATTCTTCTAGATAAACAGAAGGAAGATGGGTATGAGGCAGACATTCAAGAAGGGCAAAGGAAAAGTAATTAAAATGATACATAAGCTGAGCATGGTGGTGTACATCTATAATCCCAACACTCTGAAGGCTGGGGCAGGACTGCAAGTTCCAGCTCAGCCTGGGCAATTTACTGACTTAGCAAGACTTTGTCTCTAAATAAATAAAATAGGCTGGGGAAGAAAGCATACCAAGGTTGTATTCAGCACTGCTTCGGCCACATAGCAGTGGAAGGTAAAAGTTTAAGTAATTACAAGACAGAGCCAGACTCTAACAGTAAAGCAAACATCTTGGGACACCAAAGCTGAGCAGAAGCAGTGGGAGAGGTCAGAACTGAGGCCTCACAGGCTCTAGGTCTGGGCGTGAGCTGCAGTGGCTGGAGCTAAGTTCTGGGTGGCAAAAGGGCTCCTGGTGGGAAAAGGACCCAAAGCAGACTCACTTGGGACAGCTGGGAAGAGGCACCGCTCAACATGGTCAGACACTGAGGTTTCTAGAGAGCTGCAGGCTTCAGGAGGTGGCTTGGGGCCTGAGGGCCAGCTTCCCAATGGGAACTACAGCCTGCTGGGCACTACCTGCTTCCCTGGGCTGGTATCATCATGGAGCAGCATTCAGGAGCACTGTGACCACATTGCTTGATCACCATGGAGGCCTCCAGGGACTGATGGATGGGGGAGAGAGGACAAAACCCAAACACTAACAAAACCAAAATGATATATGATATGATGTCTAGAATTTGCCTCAGAATAACAGAGGGCCTGGAAGGGTAAGTGGGATATACATGAAGTAAATTTGGCCACAAGGTGCCCATTCCTTTTTCTTTTTCTTTTTTTCCAGTAGTGAGGATTGAACCCAGGACCTTCACACTGAGATACATCCTCAGCCTTTTTTTTTTTTCTATATTGAGACAGTGTCTCACTAAGTTGCTCAGGCTGGCCTTGAACTCCTACCTCAGCCTCCCAGAGTGCTGGGATCCAGCTAAACTGTCAATTCATAAAGATAGGTGATGGGTACAAAGGGTTCTGTATATTGTTCTTGCCAATTTAGTGTATGTTCTGGATTTTCAAGGGATTCCATCTAGACAGACAACTCCACCTCTATCCTGCTCAGCCCTTGATGGGCCCTTTCATCCTGCAATCCTTTGTCGTGAAATGCTGGGGAACACTCTTCTATTACTTCTGTTAACCTACAGTTTTTTTCTTTCCTCCTGGAATTCCTGCGAGCTGAGTGTGGAGATTGTTGTATTGATCTTCCATGTCATTATTTCTGCCTTTCCCCCTCTCTATGTTTTCTCTTTTTCTGGTATGGGGATTGAATTCAGGACCTTGTGCTTTCAAGGCAGGCACAGCACCACTGAGCTAAAACACCTGCCCCCCCCCAAATTTTAAGAGATAAATTTTACCTCCTAATCTTTCTTTTGAGCCAGTATATTTAACTTTCAAGTTTTTTTCTTGTTCTGATATTCTTTTTTCCCAACATCTAGTTTTTTATATAAAGAATGTCTCCATGAACAGTGAAAGATACTAATTTTTAAATATCTAGAATTCTGCTTCTTGAATTTATCTGTTTCTTGTCCCTTTTTTCTGTGTACTTTGGTGTTTTACTTCTGTCTAGCAAGCTTCCTTCAACTGTGGGGTGGTCTGAGGTTGGCTTTTCCTTGGTTGAGAGAGACGCCCCACTCAGAGGTGGGCTGGAAGAGCTGCAGGATAGAGATATTCAAGCTGTGGCTTTCACTCTGCCCATCATGATTTTTCAGTTTTATTTGAAAGATGAAATAATTGAGAGGCATAAGTAACACAATAAAGGTAAGCATTATGTTTGAGTGTGCAAATGGGTACTAGGAAACATTACATAAAATGTGTCACTGAATTACCATCTCAATTTTTTTTTTTTTTTTTTTTTTTTGAGACAGAGTCTTGCTAAGCAAGCCCAGGCAGGCTTAAACTTGCAAGCTCAGCTTCCCAGAGTGCTGGGATCACAGGCCTGGGCCATGACACCCAGCTGAGGGTGAGAATGTTTTAGTGGGCTTGGGTATGAAGCCATTCTCCTGGTCTGGCTACAGTGGAGTCCCGTGCCAGTACTCACTCTCCTTGGGGAGATCAGGGATTTTGCTGAGATAACAAAGAAATGAGCAGAAGGAAATGTAAGCTCATTTTGTCTGACTCAAGGCCCCTTCAGTCATGGGAGGGACTGGAGGGGAAGCATAGGACAAGAACACAGCAACAGGGAGAGCAACATCTGAGAGAGGCTAACTCAGACCAGGTAGGAGATTTTATGTGGGCAGCTATAGAAATACCTAGGCAAAGATCGTAAGTTTTATAAATAACTAATTTATGTGTCAAAAAAAAATAGAAAAGCAAGCCATTCACCTCTCTTAAATGAACAAGATTAAAATGATCATTGATGTCCCGCACTGGTGAAGCTATGGGTCCACCAGCATTTTCTCAGTGCACTGGTTTGCTGGCTTTTTTTTTTTTTTTTTTTTTTTTTGAGACCGTGTGGTCGTGCTATGCAGCCCATGCTGACCTCAAACACTAGTCCCTCCTGCCTCAGAATCCTGAGGGCTGGGATTATGAGTTGGCCTTTCTCACCTGCAAAAGGCATTCAATATGCATGCTGGTTTGGTCTAGCATACCACCCTAGGGTTTAATCTCACATAAACAGATATTAAAATTCCACATAACCACACAAAGATAGACATAAAATAATGTACACTGCAGCACTGAAGTGGGGACAGCTGGGAACAACCAAACTACCATAAATCAAGACACAGTCACATAAATTGCGGTACATTCATAAAACAAAATGCCAGGATGAAAGAGTTAAAATGAAGAGGTAGCTCTGGCAGGAAGGTATGACCATGATGTACATTGAAATGAGAAAAGCAATGTGTAAAGTGTGTTCCTAATTTTAAACCATTTCCACACACACAGAAGTGTGCCCAGTGCACTTGACTGCAGGACATGCCAGGGCTCCTGAGATGAAGGTTACGTGACACATTTATGTACTGTTGGAAATTTTGCACCGTGTATTTTTTAATTGGGGAAAAAATAAATGAGCAAGGAACATAAAGCTTTATTTAGCAGATATAACCCAAAATGTTGAAACTCTATTCCATCTGTAGTAAATGAGAGAATGAAAAGGGACAAGGAAATGTTTGAAGAGATAAAGTGAAAAAAGGAGAAAAGCCATCAGAAACAAAGGAGGCTGGGGGACTACAGGCAAAAGAAAAACAGCAGAGGTGGGTGGAGGGGGGCACCTGGGCCTTGTGACTCTCCAAGTGCCACCTTCAGTGGGTCACATTTCACAAGCCACTGGGGTTTCACTTCCCTTGGTAGTAGAGGGTATCTACTTTTTTTCCTATAGTCATAGGATTAGGGGTTCCCAAATATTAAAATAAAGTGTTTGGCAGGACAATCGTGAGCCATATCAGGGACTCAATCAGCTTTGCTGTGTGGACTTTAAGATTCCCCAAAGCCGTCCATCCCTAACTAGGTCTTACTATTCATCCATCTCCCAAAGCCTGTTTTCTTTTTTAACTGAACTATTAGGTTGCTCTGTTCTGATGCCTCTAGATCACATTTGTAAAGAAAATTTCATAGGTCGTATTTTTCAAATCCATATGGAAAGCATGGGAGTTGGGTCTGATTGTGAGGATACTGTATGGTGAAAAAAAAGGTCAAGTGCATTTAAAGGAAGGTGTTCTGTGGCCCAGAGGATGTGCCCTGCAGTGGCACAGGGTGGGTGAGCCCGGAGAAATTCGCATCATGCTGGGCACTTCAGGAAAGGCCCAGGTATGTGTCTGGACCATTGGAAAAGCAATCTGGCCCTTCTCTTTGGCTACCAGGTTGGCCAAAACAATCCCAAACATAGTCATTAGGAGGAAGGTTTACACACGTGGCAGTGGAGGGACAGCCAGGCAAAACCTGGTGGGCCTAGGAAGCACAGGGCCAAATTCATCCTGGGCTGACTCCTCATGGGCCATCCTGCAATCAATAGAGGTTTCTTAAAAGACAATGAAAACGTGCTGAGCATCGTGGCACACACCTGTAGTTCCATTACTCAGGAGGCCGAGGCAGGAGGATCACCAGAGTTCAAGGCCAGACTGAACTACATAGTAAGACCATCTACAAACAAAAAACTAAAATATGTTTGCTCAAATGAGATGGGCCTGAGGCCTTTCTGAGCCTCCCTGCTGCTGATCACCAAGGAGAGGAAAAAGCACAAAGTCCAGTCAAAAAGCTCATTTTCCCAATCTTTATTAAAGCTAGGTCCTCCTGCTCATGGATGCTGGACAGGGCAGAAGCAGCTGAGGCTCAGGAGCAACGGGAACGAATGTGGCCAGACATGGGCCATGGAAGGCAATGCCAAGATGCCCCAAGCCACTCAGCTGGAGACACCTGAGACAGAGGCCATGGCCTAGCGCTGCTGGTGCCTCCCTGGGACCCCCTGCCTTCCTCACCAGCCCAGCCTGCAACCTCCGCGGCCTGGCTAGTTCTTAGCGCTACCACCCAGGCCCTCCTCCCACCCACCAACCACCTCACCTCCTACCCCACCCAGCCCCTAGCAGCCTGGTTGCTGGCTCTCAGCCCCCAAGGCCATGTCTACACTAACACAGAAGGAACTAGGTCTAAAAGGGAATGCAGGTGCTTCAAAATCTCAGTTCTCTGGCCCCAGCCCCACTTACACTGGCCCCAAAAGCAAGAAGGGAGGGGACCTCACATGAGCCACGCCTAGCTCAGTGATAGCAAACCTTTTAGAGTTTTCAATGATACAAACAGCCCGCTGTGGCACACGTGCCATAGGTTTGCTACTACTGCCCTAGCTGCTGGCCAGTGGCTCCCTACAGCCGTCTGGAGGTGGGATGTCCACCTACAGGGGTCTTGCATAGTTGGGTGGTAGGAGCTCGGTTCCTTTCCCCTCCAGATGTGGACAGCCTTCGTGGGAACCGCACCAGGTCTTCAGTGCCACCACTGACCCATGTGAATGGGAATCTAGACAGAAACACAACTTGCTTCTAGTGAAGAATAATGGCAGAAGCAGAGTTAAAAGGACCTGTGGAGGTTCTCAGGCCCTAATCATGGGATGCGGGGAAAGACCTGTAGACCAACCCCAGTACTTTATGCTACTTGAACAGTGAACTCAGGAGGGCAGGGTTCTACGTGCCCACCTTCTACCGGAGAGAGAGGAGGCAGCCCAAGGTATTAGAGGTTAAGGCCCAAGTCTGTGCAGGTGTGCACAGGGCACCCCGAGGATGACCGACCATACCACCCCCAGCTGCTGCTGCTGGTAGGGGTGGTAAAGGACTTCATAGGGAAGCTGGGGGCAAACTGACCCTGCTGTCTCAGTGCCCATCTCAGTGCTGACGGTGAGGGGCCGGGAGGACAGCAGGACTCCGGAGAACAAGGCTTCACACTCCCTGGGGACCCTGCTAATACCGCAACCCATCCACCTGGGCCACAGACTTGGTTTCCAGCTGTGTCTCCTCTTTCCCCCACATGCTTCGGGCCTTAGGGTAGACGGAAGTAAACATCCACTGTCGACAGTCAAAAGCTTTCCCATTCGCATGTCTCCTGGGGTAGGGAGGAATCCTGCCCTTTGCAAACTATCCGGCTCCCTCTTGCCATCACGAGGATTTCTTGGAACTTCCCGGACACACTCCAAACCCAGCAAATCCCTGAATCTCCTACTGATGAAATGAGAACTCATCAGCCAGGCGCACTGGTAACCCGGACACCGGCGCTGACCGCTGGGCTGCTCGAGCCTCGGCCACCCCACCCTCCCTTCATTGTCAAACCCGGCTGGCTGCGAACTCCTAAGTCGCTTGTCTGGGCCGCCCAAATTAAAATTCGAATAAAATAAATAGCCTCACCCGCCATCCCAACCGCTCTGTTTCGCAGCTTGGACCCGGGATGTCAGTCTCGGTGGCAGCCCCTGCCGTGGCCACCCCCACGCGATGTTCCGCTCTCCTGAGTGCTCCCCACGTCGCCTCGAGAGCTGGGCCCCGGCGGGGAGGGGACCCCAAGACCGGAGGAAAGGGGTCAGTGCGCTGGGGAAGGCACCGCGCCCAGGACAGGGACTCTCAACGCCCAGAGGCCAGAGGAGCACGGTGCGGGACCAGCAGCCTAGCTCTCCTCATAGGCAGCCGAGGGCCCCGCAAACGCGGCCTCAGAACCGAAGCTCGTCCCGCCCGCGAACTCCAGCAGGGTGCTCCCGCACTCCCTTGGGGCGGAGCCGGCACTCAGCTGTCCCCTGGCGGGCGCCTCGGCCTTCGGCATTGGGGTCACCGTCGCACCGGCCTGCCCAGGCGCGCCCACCGCTCCACGGTGTGTCTTCATGTGCGTGAGCAAGTGAGAGCTCTGCGAGAAGCGGCGGCCACAGTGCGCGCAAGCGTAGGGCCGCTCGCCCGTGTGCGTGCGTTGGTGCGTCACGAGCACCGAGCGCTGCGAGAACCGTTTGCCGCACTCGGGGCAGGGGAAGGGCCGCTCACCGGTGTGGCCACGCCGATGCTTGGCCAGATTGGACCGCTGCGCAAAGCCGCGGCCGCAGTCGGCGCAGCGGAAGGGCTTCTCGCCCGTATGCGTGCGCCGATGTCTCTTGAAGTCCGAGCTATGGCCGAAGCCCTTGCCGCAGTCTGGGCAGCGGTGCGGCTTCTCCTCGGCGTGTGCCCACTGGTGCCGCGTCAGCGCCGCGCTCTGACCAAAGCGGCGGCCGCACTCGGCGCACGCGTAGGGCCGCTCGCCCGTGTGTGCACGTCCATGCGCTGTCAGGTGCGCACGGCGGCTGAAGCCCGCGCCGCACACACCGCACACAAATGGCTTCTCGCCAGTGTGGCCGCGCACATGCGCCGCCAGGTGCGAGCCGCGGGCGAAGCGTGCGCCGCACTCGGGGCATGGGAAGGGCCGCTCGCCCGTGTGCGTGCGCCGGTGGCGCGCCAAGTGGGAGCCATACACGAAGCTCTTGCCGCAGTCAGCGCAGCGGTGCGGCCGCTCGCCCGCATGGTAGCGCTGGTGCTTGGCCAGCGCGGCCCTGCGGCCGAACGTCTTGCCGCAGTCTGAGCAGATCCACGGGCTCTCCTCCTCGGCCAGAGCGGCGGGCGCCGGCTCGGCCAGCAGCCCTCCGACGGCGGGCGCGAACACGCGAAGACCCAAGCCGGCCCCAGGATCGCGGGCCAGCCCCGCACCCTCCGCCAGCGCAAGTGGGGCCCCCAATGGTCCTGGAAGGGCACGCCCGTCTGCCGGCACCCGGTCCCCGATGTCGGTAAGCCCCAAGATCGGGAAGCCGTCTGGGTGTAGCCATGACTTGGGATGCATGGGAAAGTGGAAGCCGAGCGGGTGCGAGGAGGGGCCTTCGCCCTCGCCCAAACCGTTGTCCATCCCCAGGAACCGTCTGCTCGGCTCAGGGTCCTGCTTGCTCTCAGGGCGCGCCTCTGCAGCTGCCGCCTCCTCCCTCGCTTCTGCCTCAGGGTCCCTGTCCGCCGAGACGGACTGCTGCGGCTCTTCAGGGCCCTCAAGTGCAGTCTCCGGCTCCTTGAGCCCCATTGCTGTCGCCGCCTCGCAAGGCTCCCGCCGTGGGCCCTCGCTGCCCGGCTCCGCGCACCCGCCACTGCGCCGGTGTCGCTGGAAGTCGGCGCGCAAGCGGAAGGCCTGGCCGCAGTCAGGGCAGCAATGCGGCCGATCCGCAGTATGCACGGCCTGGTGCCGCGCCAGCGCCGAGCTCTGGCTGAAGCTGCGGCCACAGTGTGCGCACGGGTATGGCCGCTCACCTGTGTGCGTGCGCTGGTGCGTGACCAGGTAGGAGCGGCGTCCAAAGCCCGCACCGCAGAAGGCGCAACGGTAGGGCCGCTCGCCCGTGTGGATGCGCCGGTGTGTGACCAGGTGAGACTTGTAAACGAAGCGCTTGCCACAGTCAGGGCACGGGAAGGGCTTCTCGCCAGTGTGCGTACGCTGGTGGATGGCCAGATGCGAGCGGTACACGAAGCCCTTGCCACACTCTTCACAGCCGAAGGGCTTGACTGCCGCGTGGTAGCGCTGGTGCTTGGCCAGCCGCGACCGGTGCGGGAACACTTTGCCGCACACATCACACGTGGTCTCGGGCCGGCCAGTCGGCGCAGCCTCCTCGGTGGGATAGGGCCAGGGTGCCATCAGGTTTGAATCCGGCTCCTGGCCGGGCAGAAAGGGCTTTGCCTCAGACTCCTCAGCCAGGACCCCGAGGTTGCCAGAGTCAGATCCCCAGCCCTCTGGGGTCTGTGCAGAATCCGAATCGTCCGGGCCCCACGTCCCTGGCACATCTCCCACGCCATAGGCCGCAGACCACAGGCCTGGGGGTTCATTCTCCTCCTCGGCCATCTCTGCCAAGAAGTCCTCATCGTCCTCTTCCTCGTGGTCCTCCATGTCATCTGTCCAGTACCAGGCTCCTGAAGGCCAGAAGAGAGGTGAGCAGACTCGAGAGCTGGTAGCAGGCACTGCCCTGAGAACTGCCCTGCCTGCAGGCATGGCCAGGCATCTCTACTCACTGAGGCAAGAAGCTGTCCAGGCCCCACACCATCTTTGACTGCCCTAAGGGCAGGAAAGCCCTGGCCTCCCCCTAGGGACTTAAGGACATGCTCATTTGGAGGCCCCTCTCATCGTGAACCCTGGGCCTACAGGCTCCTGTGAGACACAAGGCTAAGTGGCAACATGAATCCTGAGCCCAGAACAAAAGGAGACATCTGCCTAGTGGCTGATGGAAGGCAACCTGCCACCATGATGTACCCAGGTGGGAACTGGTGTATGGAGCAGGCACTCAGAGGGACAGGGGAACTGCTCAGCCTGCAGCACCTGCAGGTGTTCATAGCTCTTGCACACCTCTCTCCTACCTTAGCCCAGATCCCAGCAGGCGGAAAGCCCAAGCTTCCACTTCAGGGGTAGGAAACTCCTCCCACCTCACTTAGGGCAAAGGCTGTGGCCTGCTTTGGTCCTGGCTGAGTGAGCCTGGACCACTGAGTCCCACCCTCAAGGAAGAGTCCCAGAAGTCTGGGCTGGCCGCCACAGCCTGGTAGTTTTTTTTTTTTGGTACCGGGGATTGAACTTGGGTCCCGGGGCTTGTGAGGCAGGCGGCGGAACCACTGAGCTAAATCCCCGGCAACTAGGCCATTGTTTTTAAATATCTATGTTGATCCAGTCCAGTGCGTAGTGAAGCCAGACACCGAACAGCACAGGCCTGGCTGTGGCTATGAAAAGACAGTCATCCATCACACAGAAGGACAAGAAAACAGCTGTTTTAGTTTTTCAGATTTTATATTACTTTGAATTTTCTATAGTTCATAATATGATACTATTACAATAAACAGGCTTTAAATTTAAGTTTATTGTTACAGTGAGTAACACCAGCTGCCATCCACGGCCACCGGAATGACAAGCGGCTGTCCCCCTTGAGGGGCACAGAAAAGGCCCAGTTCCTCCTCCCTGAGTGTCCTCATTTGGCTGAAACTCTCCTCAGATCTAGGAATGGGGCATACCCTTCAGGGCAGGGGGGAGCTGTGAAGGGATGGGCCTTGGCTCAGGGTCAGATCAAAAGCTCTCAGGCCCTCTCTGATCATAGTCTTACTCTGAGTACTGTTGAACTCCCACCCTCTAAGGCAGGGAAAACACAGGCATAAGTGTTTCCTAGCAGGGAAATTCTTCCACAGGGTCAGTCTGTAGCCCTCAGGACCTAGTCGAGGGTTAGTGACCATTTGGTACATCTGTAGTCTCAAAGAGCTGGACACCAGGCCCAGTGGGGGGTCAGGCACCGGCACCTCCACTGCACCTTTCCCCCGAGTCTGAGAGTAGGCCTCATGGGGAGGTTGCCTTGCTGTGCCCCACAAGGCTCTGCAGAATGGACCAATCCTGACAGGTGTCTGGAAGCCTCACCCCTACCCCTGGAGGTAGCATGGTCACCTGCCCCAAAACAAGGACAAGTGTGAGGCTGTACCTAAACATGCAGCAAGGTGATACAGGAAGGAGAGGAAGGGCACTTGAGTCCTGGAGAAGTCAGAGCTGGCAGCATCCCAAGATGAGAGCTCAGAAGTACTGGGCCACTGGGAGGCACCCAGGGGAGACTCAGGAGCCAGCTTATCCCAAGGCCAGGTTTTATTCTGTTTTCTGCTGCCAAAATGGCCCAAGGTCTGCAGGTCTTGAGTCCTGGAGTGGGATGTCCAGTATAATAGCCACTCCAGGAACAAGGCTCCCAGAAGGGCTGCTGGCCTTCAGACTCAAAGGCCTTCTTTTGGATCCAGGTGAAGAGTTTTAGCTCTACTTGTCAGACCCCAACTGGGAGCAGACAAGACGTTCAGGTCAGGCTGTGTCTCAATAGCTGAAGGACAGTGGTCCTAAGTATCAAACACAACCACTTCAAAAAAAATAAATTAAAAAAAAAACAACAACAAAAACACAACCACTTCATCCAGAACAGGGAGGTGTGCCCTGGGGATGGGCCTGGCATTTCACCTTCTTGCGCCTAACATTTGCTCCAAGGACCTGACATTGGGCAGTGATCAACAAGGCCTCTGGAAAGATCCAGAGGGACCCCAGGAAGTTATGAATAAAGTGCAAAGGCAAATCAGGGGCTCAGACTCAGCTGTCTAGAGAGAACCTTCCCAGGCTTGGCTATGAGGACAACTTCATAGCCTGTGTCCTGAGCTGAGAACACTGAGACCCCAGGGAAACAGGCTTCTGCACATTGTGAAGGGGCAAGTGAACAGGCTGGTGAAGAGAAAGTCCAAACAAAGGCCACCTTGACAGAGTGGTGCCACAGGAATGAACTAAACACTTCAGGTTGCCACAGTGATTTCTCCCGCCTCAAGTGCTCACATCTGTCCCCTGCTGTTTCCTAAAGTGAGTACTGCTCAGCAGTGTTGGTCTCGGAAGGTCTGCCCTAGCTCAATACTGGGCGGCTCTCACAGATCTCAGTATCTCCCACCACACCTCTGACCTCCAAACCAGTGGTTCTCCTGCAAGCTGATCCTGCTCAGCTCATTTCCACGCAGGCCAAGAGGTCACTTTACCAGCTCTCTCTCAGCTGGCTTGCCTGGGCAGCTCAAGGGCACAGGCTCTGCTGGGCCCTGAACCACACCTCTACCATTTACTGACCGTGGGACCCTGGATAAGTCATTTAGTGTCAGCTTACCAATCTGTAAAATGGTTTCTAGTAGCACCTGAAATCTCACTTTGTGAAACTGCTGCAAGGAATAAATAAGCGGGCATAACATGCCTGTGATGGTGCTACCGAAGTATTCCTATCACTGTAGGAACCAGATGCTGCCCTCTGCTATGTATCACTATAGATTCCCCAAGGCTTCCCCGCTGTTTATCCTTGTTCTCCACTTGCTCACTCTGTTATTCCTCAATTTTAACAGGCTGTGCCCTTTTCCTACCGCTAGGTTCATGTGGTCACAGATTGCCACTAACCAGCCCTGTGCCCCTGGACTAGCCATCATGGAGCTGCCCTGTCACCAGTACTTGGTGCAGAGTAAGGGCTCCCCAAGAGAGGCCCTGCAGCCTAGAGGTCCGTGAACAGTAAGGTGGCCCTCCACATCACCCAGAAGGCCACAAGCACAACAGCCTCCCGCACTTCTATCCAGGCTCTAGTTTATCTGCACAGGAAGTCGGCTGTCTCATGCTCTGTTAGCTAGTGGCCCTGATAGCAGAGTTCCCTAGACACCTCCTGTAAATGCCCACACCTGGGCCTATGTTAGGAAGATGCCATTCCAACTGCTTTAGGGGTGGCCTGGGGCTGCTGAATAGACCCCAAACACATCAGCCAGAGAACCAGACCACCACTGTCTGACACCCGCCTTGAGCCACCTATGCCCATTTGGAGCTTCACGACCTGCCCTATAGGCCCAAGGTGGCCTGGGCCTCAAGGTGAGTCAGAGCTGTGGGTTTCCCTCCCTGATAACCTGTCCTGAGTTCCCTAAGGTCAGCAGTTGCCCTGGCCCTCATGACTCTCCATCAGCCAAACTGCTTCCATCCAGGCATAGAAACTCAAGATGGGGGCCGGGGATTTAGCTCAGTGGTTTCGCCGCCTGCTGCGCAAGCGCAAGGACCCGAGTTCGATCCCCTGTACCCCCCCAAAAAGAGAAAAAAAAGAAAAAAGAAAGGCTTGGGATGTAGCTCAGTGGTAGAGTTCTTGCTTAGCATGTAGATGGTCCTGTATTCAATCTCTAGTACCCCAAAGGCGAGGGAGGTAAACAGCTGGAGGTGAATGGGGCTGGGGTTTGTCCTGGAGCTCAGGCTCAGGAGCAAGCAGAGGCTCTGAACAGGACTCCCAAGTGGAGGAATATGGCCAGAGTACAGATGCCGCGTGTGGCCCAACTTATCAAGGAGCACAGCTGAGGAAAGCAGCACTTGTGTCTTGCAGGACTATAACCTACAAAAGCAAAATGTCATCCTAGAACAGCTGGCATTCATCCTGCCTACACCCAGCAACTCTCCATTCCCAACCAGCTCAGCTCAGCAGAGCGGATGCAGGGAGATAGCCTGAAAGCCACAGCGGTCACCATAGTTAAGGGCAACCTCAGGCTCCTCACTCTGCCTGAGCTGTCCCCAGCCTTTGTCACCACATCTGCATCCCCTCCAAGCAGGCACATGGCACATCATAATCAGCCTAGGCCCTGCCCCCCGACAGCTCTGCAGACAGAACTGGGCCAGGGGCCACCCAGGCCCACCCCCCCCAACACATGACTGCCTACAGGAGAGAGAGAGCAGAGGGCCAGCCCTCCCAGGGAGCCCCAAGCCCTACATAGGTGCCCAAGGGACACAGTGGATGTCACCTGAACTAAAAGGAGACCCAGACCACAAAGCTTGAGGCCGTACAAGGCTCTACCCCAGGACCCTCCAAGAGGCATGGAGAACAGGGGCATGTCTAGACTACACACTAAGAGACTGGCCCGCGCTGGCCTGTGTCCCCTTCCCCTCCGGGTGGCTTTTCTGAATGTGTCTGTAAATAGTAGACACTTCCCACCCAGGTCCTCAGAGAAGCACTGTCTATAGTACAGGTGAAAATAAAGTACATGTGCAGGTGTGTTTCTGGGATATACTTTTCATTTTGTTTTGGGTTTGAGGCAGGATCTCACTATGTTGCACAGGCCGGCCTCAAACTCCCCATCCTCCTGCCTCAGCCTGTGCCACTACACCCAGCAGTGGTTTTCTTTTAAAAGCCCCTCTCAGCTGATGGCACTCCAGCCCAGCCCCAGATGCTTATGGGCCAAGAGTTTCCTGCACAATCTGAAACCTGAACATAACCTGTGGACTCCAATGAGAACCTCAACTCAGCATGAGTCTGACATGCTCAGGTTGGAAACCATGGGTTCAGCTCAAATTACTTCACATTCTTTTTTGGCAGTACTGAGGACTGAACCCAGGGTTGTCTTCACGCTGAGCTCCACCCTTAGCCCTTTTAATTTTTTGAGACAGGGTCTCACTAAGTTACTATGTAGTCCAAGCTGAGCTTGAACTTGTGATCCTCCTGCCTCGGCATCCCAGAGTGCTGGGATTATAGGCGTGCACTAGTTCAAATTCATTCTCCAAATGAATAAAGTGGGACTCAGAGAGGTGAAAGAAGAGAGAACTGTTTCCAAGAACTGCAGAGAAACTCGCCACCCCAAATGTCTTATTTACACTCCAAAATCCCCTCTCCAAAAGCCCCAAACTGCCCACGCAGGTCAGAGGCCTGCCTATGGCCTTCTGGGAGGGACAGGCAAGGCTGATAAGGACTATTTTGCAGAAATGGCCAAGTAGGTGGAAAGGCCAGAGCAATGGCCTTTTTCTTTTTTTTTTTGGTACTGGGGATTGAACTTGGGACCCTGGCCTTGCGAGGCAGGAGGTGGAACCACTGAGCTAAATCCCCAGCCCGGCCTTCCTGAAGTCTCAGAAAGATGCATCAGCAGTCTACTAGGCTCCTGGGACCTGGTCTCGGCTCTGAGCCACCAACTTGACAACTATCTTCATTTACAAAAAGAAATCACCAGCTCCAAGGTGCGGACAGGGAATCACTTTAAGGTTTTCAAAGGACTTTCCAGCCCTTGGTCCTCTCTGGAGTTGGACCAAGAGGACCCAAGAGGCAGAAGCAGAGGCTAGCACATGGATCTTGAGCTCACCTGTGTAGACACCAGTGACAATGTCCCCCTCCTCAGGATGGGGGCTATCTGGGACCCAAGGCTCTTCTCCTTGTTCCAGGCGAAAGATCAGTTCTGGCTTTGGGACTGGGTACCCTGCCCAGGAGAGGAACAGATAGGTGATGGGTGTTACGGAGGCCTGTACTGTCCCTGGCGTGCTCAGATCCTCTCCTCTTCCCATCCTCCCCTCCTTGCTCTGCTCTGGGAGACTCTATATCCCTTCCCTTGGGCACTGCCCTCTCCACCCTGCCTTCCTCCCACAGCCCTCCCCTGCTGGGCCTACACCTGCCTCAGCCTGCCCTACAGTGCAGCAGAGAGCCCGGAGCGGGATCAGTAGCTCCACCTGGCTTAGTCACCCTTCGGCCCCACTGAGGGCAGGGAGGTCCTCGGGCTTCCCTGGGAGTGGGTGCCTTGCCCTAAAGCTCCCTGGCCTGCTCCAGGACACCTAAATCCTGCGGGTTGCCTCTTGGGGACAAAAGGCCCTTCCTTACCCAAGGACACCAGGATCCCATAGTTCTCTTGCATCACTTCCTGGTAGAGGGCCCTCTGGTTCACGTCCAGTCTCTCCCACTCTTCCAGGGAGAAGTACACAGCCACATCTTCAAAGGTCACCAGCCCCTGGAAAGCACAGGGCCCCAGACACTGCCCTCTGCTGCCCTGTGTGAGAGGCTGAGTATATACGCAGCCATGCAGTGCAGTCAAAGAAACCACACTGAGGCCCTGCAACGTGGACCCCAACGGGACACAAGCCAGCCCCTCATTATCAACACTACAGAGGACTTTCGTTCTTTCACCTATCCCTGGAGGTGGGGCCCCGGTTCCATCCAGAGACCAGGAACGCAAGCCTAGAGAGGGTGAAGATCCAGCTTTCAGGGGGTAGAGGCAGAGGCAGGACTCACAGAGAGGGCAGGAGACAATGAAGCCGAGCCCTACAACCCCTCCTACTTCAGTCTGGCCCAAGCAAATGCTGTGGCCACCACAGCAGCCAGAGGGGCTGCTCCAGGGTGGACAAATGGTGCCAACTGAGTGTGGGCACTGACTAGGAAACACAGTCACTCCAGGTTAGGGGAGCAGAGTGACTTTATGGGACAGCCAGCCCTCTGAAGTAACCATACATGGTACAGATAAGTGGATGGAAGGTAAAAGAAATTAGAACAACCCAATGGCCTGGGAAGAAAACCCATACTCACTGGGCCTGGGGCCTGCAGCCTTGTTCAGGGCCAGGGCCTTGCTTGAGGATCCCAGTGCCACTGCCCCGGAGTCCTCCAGGATGATATACAGGGAAACCCTACTCAGGTTACCTGACTCCAACCGAGAGATGGCTGCTCACCTGAGAACCAGCTGTTAGGAAATCCTCCTCCTCCTCCTCTTCCTCTTCTTCTTCCTCCAGATCCTCATCCTGAGTGGTAACGGGAACCTGGCACATCTGCAGGGCTAAGGGGAAAGATCTCTTAGGGGCCTGGGGGCCAGGTGCCCACAAGCATCTGGTCTGGTCAACCCAGCCATCTTTGGCCCAGCTGAGAGGCAGGGCTGGAGCTCCCAGCTGCTTCGCTGCCTCTCTTTTCAAAAGCTGGGCCTATAGCCGGGCATGGTAACACATACGTAGAATCCCAGCAATGTGAGAAGCTGACGCAGGAGGACACAAGTTCAATTTAGCGACTTAGCAAGTTCTTCTCTAAAACATACAGTGGACCTTTGACAATTTGCTCTCAAGGGGTGATTATAACTAACTCAAGTTGGTTTAAGTCAAGACTATTTTTCCCCGTAAGAAATACAATGAACTCTCAACTTACAAACTCAACTTGTTCATGAGGGCTGGTTGTAAGTCAAGTTGGTTATAAGTCAAGACTATTTTTCCCATAAGAAATAATGGAAGTACAGTAATGTGTTCCAAACCTCCCAAAGCACCCCTTAACTAACCTTTTCATAAAAAGGGGGTTGTTTAATGTGTGCAATTTACCAGAAACACCAATAATTTTCCTAGTGTACTCCGGGAGTAACCCGTTGTTCATGTTAGCCCAGTTGTAACTCAAGGGTCCACTGTGAAAAATAAAAGGCTGTAGGAGTAGCTCGGTGCAAAGACTCGGGGTTCAATCTCCAGTACTTTAAAAAAAAACCGAAGGGCCCTGCCTGTCTAGCTGCAGCCCCAGAGCTTTCCCTGGTCTCGCCGAGCCCCTGGCCTGGCCTTCATTTCCTTCCCCAGGGCCTGGCTCCTTTTTCTTACCCTTTCCCAGAGCCGGGGACCTGGCGTCACCACCATGGCTAAGTTGCTCCTGGGCTCCCAAGCCCGGGCTCTGCTCCTCTGCCAGCACTTCCTCCACGCCGTCCTCCTCGTCGTCATTGTCATCGTCGTCGTCGTCACCGTCACTGTCGTCGTCTCCGTCAAACTCTGCCTCCACCTCCACCTCCGCCACCTCCACCACCTCTGCCGTGTCCTCTGCCTCCTCCTCTTCCTCCTCCTCCTCTTCCACCTCCTCCACGTCCTTCCCCTTCTCCTCCTCCTCCTCCTGGTCAGGATCACATTCAGACCCATCCTCCACTCTCTCGAGCTGGGGGGCTGGGGAATCCAGAGTGGTCTGAAGGGCTGCCATCGTCCCTGGGAGGCAGCTTCCACTAAGCCTGAAACACAGATAGGTGGGCAACGCGGTGAAGTCACTGGGGCGGTGGGAGGACCAGGCTGTGTCTGCCATCTTCTGTTGTACAACAGGCACATTCAGTTCCTAGAGAGGCTGCCTGAAGAACCTCTTCCCATGAGTCCCTGGGACACAGCCCCCACCTTCTCCCACCAGCAACCACACACCCAGGATGAGCCGCTATCCTTTCCTGGGGAGTCAAACACTGATCCCCAGTCTTGATCCTCGAGGACCCTGAGACCCATGGAGTCCAGGCAGCACAGCCCAGGGTGGTCCGAACTTCACTGAAAGGGGGGAGCATAACCTATGAGCACAGAGAATGCAGAGCTTACCCAGTCCTCAGCACACATGGGCCAGGCCAGCAGAAACCTGAGGCCCCAGCACAGACACTGTGGGCCTTCAACAGGCAGGAGGAGGGTCAGGCGGCTTCACCGGTCTCTTCAGAGAAAGAAAGGTCAGACCAGCACCAAGAAGCCAGCAGGCTGGGCTCCTTCCTGCAAGTTGTGGGAGAGGAGCCATGAGCACCCACCACCCTTGCATCTGCCCTTCCCAGTCAATTCTGTCCTGGATGTCTGAGAAAAGCTTGGTGGGTCACTGACATGACTCATGGCTGGGCCAGCACAGGTAATATAACATGCCCTCTGGCATTTCATGAAGTCTGGAGATCAGAGAATCTTGTGAGCTAGAGTGCCAACCCTCCAGGGCTCCAGGATCCTAGCCCCCCTGATGAAAGAGATGGCCAGCCCTCAGGCTCACGGCAGACCCAGCCATGAGGCCATGAAGTCCAGAGCCCAGGGGTATGGGACCCTGGGGGAGCACCTCCTTGCCAGTCACACATCCTGTATCAGCCTCTGGTGGAACCCCGAGAGTAGGGCTCTTGGGTTTTGTGGAATTTCTATAGCTCCTTTTTGGGCATGAGCCCAAGATTGGGTTGATTGCCCAGCACCTGCCCCCATGTGTCTCAGATCTGAACGGGGCTGTTTCCAAAGTGAGTCCAGTCCACTGCCAAACACGGGGATGGGGGCACAAGTCCTGAAGGATCCAGGAGTGTCAGGCCACAGGGCAACACCAGGTCTACCACAGCTTATCCAACTCTACCAGAGGACAGTGTGTGCCTCAGAATGTCTAAAGCCAGACTGGAGCTCTCTGTGTAGATGCCCAGCATCGTGAGAACAGACACTGGGCCTTGTATTCCTGTAGACGCTCCTGGGAGCAATGCCCAGTGAGTAAGAGCAGTAAGAGCAGTGGCTCTTACGCCCACTCATCACTTTCTATCCCAGCAGCATGGGCTCTTTTTCTAAACTGTTCTGAGAAGCTGCATTAAAACCCACGCATTGACAACCAGGTAATTCCAAGCCCTAATGCAGGCGTACCCAATCCAGGGCTGGGACACCTGCCACCTAGAAGCCACCTTGGTCCTGACCATTCTGCCCCCACTCAACTTCCTCATGCTAGATGCAAATCACTGTTTCAAAGATCCAGGCCACAGAACTCAGCCCAGGAGAGCCACTAGGCCTCTGGGCTCTCCTAGAAGTCCACCCCTTGCTTCCACCATGCCTGAAGTATAGAAATACATGTGCCTCTTGTCCCTCGTGTGCCTTATATTGCCCAAGGCTGCAGCCCTGCCCAACACTTAGGGTGCTGAGAACACTCAGTAGTGGCTTCCCAACTGTCACCCACCTCAGACCCAGAAGAAGGCTCTTCTCACTCAGACCTCAGGCTGCAAATTCAAGCTGAGCCCAGACACCAGCAGAACTTCCTGCCTGGCCCACCACCTGGACCAGCCACTGTCCCATGGCCCCAAGGCCAGGCTGTTGTATATGAGGACCTAACAAAAGCTTTGGAATAAGAGGCCCAAGCTTACCACCTCAGAACCTTTGCTTCTCCCTCCTTGGAAGTCTTTACCCTTCAATGACATTTCAGAGGCAGCCACCCTGAACCCCTATGACAGTTTCTGGTTCTCTCCCCTGGCAACACCTATACATTCTTTACCTGAGCTCAGTCAATTGAGGGAGTGCAGGAGCTCCCTCTACTGCCCTCTGAATCCCACCGTTCCAGACACACAGAAGTACAGCACTCCAGGACTTACTGAAGAATGAACCCTAAAGCCTGTACTAAATGTGATCGACATAAACTCAGCCATGGGGGTCCTTCGAACTAGAACCCACCCCGGAAGCAATGGAGTCTCTGCCTCCACAGAGGACACTGGGTAAAGTCCCTTCTCCCAAGAAGTCTCTCATTGATGACCACAAAAGAGGGAAGTCCAGCCCCTGCAGAGGTCAATGGTCTTGCAGTAGACAGACTGGAGCTAAGCACAGCCAGACACTCATATGCCCGACTCTGGGTTCAGAACCAATGCTCACAAAAACAGGCTTCAGGGTCAGTTCATATTCTTGCAGCCAGGGTCCTGGCGTCTCGTCTCTCTTAGACATACACATTCCCTGCCTCTCCAGTCTGTCAGCCCCCCGAAACTTACTCTGCTTATTTCTCCTTGACTCCAATTCCAAGTTAGAAGCCACAGGGAGTCAGGTAAGCAGTCTCATCCATTAAATCCCTGGTTCACCCAGACCCTCACTTTCATTGGGGCACCACCCTAGGACATGGTGCAGCAGAGATTTAGAATTGGGGATGACTGTTGGGAGCACTGCTACATAATTTTAAGGGAAAATCATTTGGTTAGCCTAGTTCTCTGGCCTACAGCCCAGCTACGGCATTCCGAGACATAACTCCATTTTGGCCTCGGGTCACAACTGAGACCTCAGTGATCCCGTGATGCTGTGATGCTCCAGGGCAAGACCACACCTGCGGGAGACACCCTGGGAGGAACCAAATCTTCATCTGCATAGTTCCTGGGAGGAACCAAATCTTCATCTGCATAGTTCCTCATTGATTTCCACCACCCCCCAGTCTTTTGTTACACCTTGTTTATCCCAAGGTGAAGTACTGAACTCTACATATTCATTTGTTACCTTGTCTCTCCCAATGTACTGAATAAAAGGTGCTGCAAGCTAGGGGTTTTTGTCTTTGTTGCCCAGAGCAGCACTGATCAGGCCCAAAGCTCAGCTTCTTCTCAGTCTCATTTGTCTACCTTTCCTGTAATTCGCTGTGTGATGCCGTGGCTTGCAGGAGACTAGGACTCACTGCAGAGGTTCTAGTAACATCCCCTTCCCCTGTTCCCTACAGATGACAAGATGTCTTTCATGAGAAGGGAGTGAATGAGCAAGGACAGAAAGAACTGGCAAAGCTTGAAAACTGTTAGAAACTCCACAAAGGTCCCAAATCCAGGGAAACCCGTGGGGTCATGCAGGAGATAGGTGTAGACACTTGTATCCAGTCATCTTTCTCTCTGGGTGGCCCCATCGGCCTCAGGGCCTCTCCAGTCTTCTTCTCCACCACAATCCTCACTGTCTGTGGGTCTCAGTGGCCTCCACTCTACCTAGACTTGCTCCTGTTGCAGGCGTATCCATGGGGGCCATTCGAGATCCAGGGTAGCCCCTTCACCAGGCCAACCAGCTCCCCGACCTGCCAATACTTTTTAAACAGAACCAAGTGCTACCTGAGTGCCAAGCAGAGCTAGTGGCCTGATCCTCCTGACACCTGCACCTCCCCTTCCCCCTACCCATCACCTACCAAAGGCCAGCCCCTCTCCTGCCTGTGTGGACACAGCACACTCCATCTAACCTCAGAGATGAGTTCCCCTAATCACCTACTAGCAACAGACGATTTATCACAGCAGCTCAGCCAGGCCTCCATTTGCAGATAGTAGGGAAGACTCAGACACTCCCCCCTCCCAAGGTCACAAAGCTGGCTGCGGGACGCCAGGACAAGCTGTCTTTCCCCTCCCTCCTCTCAAGGGGCTCGTCCGGGTCCCCACCTCCTGCAGAGAGACCACAGCGGGAGACCGCCCCTCCTGGATGGGTGTGTCCCCGGGGCGAGGGAGGGAGCGGCCCAACCCCCGCAGCCAAGGAGAGGCAGCGGCGGTGCCAGGCACCTCCCCAAGTGTCGCGCGTGTCTTCCCCAGTCCATCCCCTTGGCCCTGCCCGCTGTCCCGGGACTTGAGGGTCGCAGCCCCCCCCCCCCCGAAGCGAGGCCCTGGGGGAGCGAGGAATCCGCGAGCCTCGAGGGCCGGTGGGCGTAGCCGCGATGGCCGGTTCTGCACCGGCCGGGGCTCCCAAGCGCCACAGCCACCCCACGTTCAACACCGACCGCCCCGAGGCCTCGCGCGCAGGTAGTCCACCCAGGCCCTTCCCGCTGCCGCCTCCTCGCGCGACTCACCGCGCGCGCCGGGCAGACCGAGCCGCAGGCTGGACGCGGGGCCGGGGCCTGCGGGCCGCTGGGGCTGCGCGACACAAAGTGACGGCCGCGAGCCGTGAGGCGGCGGCGGCGGCGGCGGCGGCGGCGCACCGGAAGTGCCGCCCACCGGCCCCGCCCCGTCCGTGCCCACGGGGGGAGCACTTCCGGTCACACGGGGTCGCCCCGGAGAGTGGGCACGGAGAGGGGGGCGCTGCGGGCGTGCGCCAGGGACGCTCGTGGGACTCACACCCCCGACTTCCCCCGCCGGCGTCCCTTGGGACTCCCATGGGGGTCCAGCCCCTCGGAGTAGCCCTCCTCCAGACCCAGGCGGCCTTCTTCCTCCGGGATTCGGGAGCGCCTCCTGAGGGCCAGGACAGATCCATGAGACTCCCCTGGACCTCACGACCTGTGGCGGGGAGGCGACCCCCATGTTGGGGGAGATCAGGCCGGCTGCTGTTGACAGACCCTGCTGTAGGTGGGTGGTGAGGTGGTCGTCCCTCTTAGGGAATGGAGGGGCAGCTGGGCGATGTCCCACAGCCCCACCACACACCCCCTTCTGGGACCGCTGTTATGTGTAAGACCCACGTGGGAGGGGGAGCAGGTGCAAAGCCGTGGGCAAGGACAGGGCGGCCGTGGACCATTGCAGCCAAATATAGGAAGAGCTTTAGGGCTGCTGAGGCCGTAGTTGGAGGTACATGTGGTCAGGACCAGAGGGAAGAAAGGGCTGTCCAAGCAGAGGGCATAGCCCACCGGGAGGCAGAAGTGATACAGGCTGGGGTAAGATCTAAGGGAAGGGAAGAAGGGCCGTGGATTGCGTGACCATCCACAGTCCACACCACAAACTTTCTGGGTCGCAGCAGGGGTTTGATGGTGACCCTCGGCGCCCTTAGAGGTCCGCAGCCTTTTTTCAGGATGGAATGTGGCCCGGGGCTTCTTCCTCAGCTTCCACCCCATATGAACCACTGTTTTTAGTACTTAGACCCTCAAGACAGAGCAGCAACCCAGAGGGCTGCCCTGAATGAATTCCCTCCATGAAGAACTTTAGCGCCTGGGCCGGGGATTTAGCTCAGTGATTTCGCCGCCTGCTGCGCAAGCGCAAGGACCCGAGTTCTTTCCCCGGTACCAAAAAAAAAAAAAAAGAATTTTAGCGCCTGGGCGTGGTGGTGCATGCCTGTAATCCCAATCCTCAGGAGGCTGAGGCAGGAGGATTGCCATGAGTTCGAAGCCACCCCCCTGGGCTACATAGTTGCTGTCTAAGCCTAGTTGAGCCGAGAGTGGTGGGCTAGCTAAGGAGATAAAAAAAAAAAAAGAATTTTAGCGCCTGGGCGTGGTGGTGCATGCCTGTAATCCCAATCCTCAGGAGGCTGAGGCAGGAGGATTGCCATGAGTTCAAAGCTACCCCCCTGGGCTACATAGTTAGTTCAAGACCAGTCTGAACTACATAGTGAGATCCTGTCAAAAAAAAAACCAAAAACACTTTAGTGCCTGCTGTGAGCTTCTCAGGCCAAGAAAACACTCAGACAGCTCTGACTTGCCCACTCTCCTGCTGAATCTGTACGATATTCTGGGTTCTCGATGTTTTTAAATTAATAATTAACATTTGAAAATTGAGAATCCTACTTTTAAAAAGTGCAAAATCTACATTTCTGAGCTGGGCTTCATGGTGCCCGCCTGTAATCCCAGCAAGCTGGAAGACTGAAGCAGGAGGATTGAATATTCAAGCCCAGCCTGAGCAATTTAGTGACTTAATGAGACTCTGTCTCAAAATGTAAATTTTAAAAAAATTTTTTAAAGGCTAGGATGTAGCTCAGCACAAAGGTCCTGGGTTCAATCCCCAGTACAAAACAAAACCACAGCAGGGCTGGGGATTTAGCTCAGTGGTTCTGCCGCCTGCTTTGCAAGCACAAGGTCCTGAGTTCGATCCCCGGTACCCAAAAAAAAAACCCTAAATTTTAGGGCCAGGGATTTAGCTCAGTGGTTTCGCCGCCTGCCCTGCAAGTGCAAGGACCCAAGTTTGATCCCCGGTACCCAAAAAAAAAACAAACAAACAAAAACCACAGCAACAACAATTTAAAAAAGAACAAACCTTGAATTTCTGGCAACACAAGTTCTGGTTTGCAGGAAACTGGCCAGTAGAACCTGAGGAATGACCAGCCAGTGGGGTGGGTCTGAGCTTTGCCAGTGTCCTCTGTGGCCACCATTCCTTATCACTTTTCTCCAGGGCACTTCCACATGTCACCCTTTGTCTGAACTTGTAGGTATCCAAGCTTTCAAACCCTGGACTGCTAGTTAGACCTTTCCCCATCCTACCTGGCAGGCTCAGCAGGAAGCAGCATTTTCCCCCAGGGGCTTCCATTTCCAGAGAAGGGGAGTTAGGAAAATTAACCATTAAGCAAGAGCAGTGGCACAGGTAAAGAGAAACACCAGAATGTGGAGATACAGCCTTTGCCAACCTTAGGCCCAAAGGAGAGGAAAGGGTAGAATGTTGTCCAGCCTGCGGTTAGCTGGAAGTGTGGAGACAGACGGATGGGGTCATTAGGCGAGAGTTGTCATTATAGAGGGACAGTGGGGTGGGGCAAGGAGAAGACCCCAACCCTGCCCTCCCACATCCTGTCACCTGCCAGCACTGCCCTTTGGCCAAACCCACCTAGAATTGTGGGGTCGGGAGCCAGGGGATGCAGCCTGCTGGGGTCGTTCTCCAGGGCCCAAAGCCAGGTAGAGAAGAAACGCAGGGGGTGCCCATAGGAGAGAATCAGCTGCTCAGTCTCTCCCTTGGAACCCTCCCCCTTGTCAGGCAGGGACCCCACATCTCCCAGCAAATCCTGAGATCTCCCCTGGACCTGTCCCCACCTGATCTGTACCCAAGGCTCCATTTGTTCCCCCTCCCTTCTCAACAGAGCTTTTTGAAGGAGTTTATCATGACTCCCAGGTCACCCCCCTTCCAGTCTGTCCCTGCCTGAGTCTCCTACTCAGCTAATGGTCCTTCTGATATAGGAAAAATATAACTCCTAACCTGTTAGATGTCAGATGTGCTGAGTTCATGGTCTCACAATGTTGAGGAATAAAGTCGTGAACCAAAGAAAGAAGTTAGGAGAGTTTTATTGGAAATAAATAGGCGTCCCGAATGGGTGACCACCCAGGCCTTTTGTCAGGGGTGATTTATACAGCAAAGTCACAATGTGGGTTCAGTGTGGGTCAAACTATAATCAAGCTATAGAATTATAAGCATAGCTGCTTACCTAATATTAATCCAGTAGGGAAACAAGTAATGCAGCAAGAGTATCTGGAAAGAGCAAAAGCATGTTTGAGAAGGGAGAGGAGTATAAGTCCAGATATTCTGGTCATCCACCTGTGTGTCTGATCCCTATCTGGGCCCACTGGACCAGGGGGTGCTGATTCCAGTATAATCTCAAATCGTATTGCTTTCTAGGGAGGCACGCAGACCTTGCAGTTGCTTCTCCGTCCTGAGGCCTGGTTGCCTCCAGCCAAAATTCTGATGTCTTTCTTTTCTGTGCCGACTTCCTTGAGGGGCCAGTCCTTCTCTGATTGCATATTAATTTCTATCTGTAATAATTCCTCAGCGTGGAGGCTGAGCAGAGAGACTGTGGCCCCCGCATCTTTCAGTTTCATCCCCATCTCAGAGTCATCTCTCCTCCTGCCCATAACACACAGTTTCCAAGGCTCATTTCATTCGTGACATTGAGGGGCAGACAGGCAAAGGCCCCATTGTCTACCAAGTTCGGTGCATCCTGGGTCAAAATTGGGGTTGCCATCCCCAAGGTGACCTGTCTCCTGTCCCAGCCTTGTGACTTCCAGAGCAGAGTGCTCAGGTGGGCCACCCACCATTCTGTGAGAATTAAACCTAAGCCACTAGATAGGAGACTGTGTTTGTTTTACAGTCAGATACATTTTCCTGTCATTCAACCTGAATGGCCCCTTCCATTGGCTCTACGTTCTCTGGCCTGGATCAGATCCTGGGCAGTGAGCCTTACCAACAGCTTCAGACTGGCTGAGTCTGGGCACACAACCCTCCCCCAGGCCCAGAGTCATCTTTGTCCCTGGTTAGGGCAGTGCATAGCTGTCCCAGATGGCCTATGCTTGCCTGACCCTCGTCCTTGGCCCTGAGCCTTTTGGCCACCTAAGTCCAGAGGTGGCTTCCCCAGGTGTCTGTGGGCATTGCCCCAGGGAGGACTCTGCCAGCTCTGCACAGGGAGACTCAGGATCCAGGCTTGGCCTGCCTACCTCCTCCCCCAACCCCACAGTGTCTGTGTGAAGTGCTTGTGCACACCACACACTCCTGAAAGCACATTGTGGCTCCACTGTTAGGGTTCATGAACCTCCCAGGAGGTAGGTTCTGGTTGCTGACCTCTCTGGTTGCCCTTTCCTGTAGGTTCTAGGACCCAAAGCACACCCTACCCTGCTTCCCTCTAAGACTTGCAACCTTATGCCTAGACTCCCAGGCTATGCACATACGCAGGCATGTGTATACACACACACACACACACACACATGCTCCCTTTGGATCACTCAGTAGGACAAATCACATGCCTTGCACTTTCTGTGTGCTGGACCCCGACTCTCTCCCTGTGTTTCCTGAGGAGCTCAGACCCTGCTGTCAAGCATAGTGGTGGTTTGTGTGGGGGAGACCTTCAAATTGGGGCCACATGGTTCACCCTGCTCTAAGGATCATGTGCAAAGGGATGTGACAGCCAGATGGGGGATAGCAGAGCTGCAAAAGGTGGGGAGAGAGACAAGAAAGCTAATGGGGGTCCCAGGGCTGTGGGAGGGGGTTGGGGTGTCAGTAGGGAGGGGCCCACAAGAGCAAGATGGCTCGTGACAGTCTAGAGCAGCATGTGGGGACCAGCACATCTGGGGACCCCACACTTGGGGATGGGTCTCAGGGCACCCAAATTTTCCATGGGATGCCCCAAAGTCAAAAATATGATCCAGCCAGGCATGGCAGTGAATAGCTATAATTCTAGAACTCTGGGAGGCCGAAGCAGGAGGATTGCAAATTCCAGTCCAGCCTGGGCAACTTAGCAGTTTAGGAAGGCCCTGTCTCAAAATAAAAAGGAAAAAGAAAATA